GGGCCATTCTGTGATTCTGTGATTTCTAGTACTCATGAAGATGCTTTACTGTTTTTTTTTTTTTTTTTAATGGAGTTAGTTTCTATCGATGGAACAAAGAAGAAACAAAACACTGGTACCTGTTGCTCAAGTCTTGTTTTTGTTACTTATGAGAATTGCTTTCCTTAATGCAATATATGCTGAATTTTCTTTTTTTTCTTTTTTTTCTTAACAGATGGGAAATAAAGCCAGAGTGCCTAAACAGACTTTGAGAATAAGGCACACTGGGCATATGCTGAGGTCAACACAAAATGCTTGTATTAATCAGGAAAACTTAGCAAAATCAAGGAGTGGATCGAGCTTATCAATGTCAAAAGGTGAAAGAGTGCAAGTAACTAAACCTTCCTCACGTGAAGCCACAACTAAAGATCACTCTTTGATTTTCCAAAGAGACACCACAAACAGGAAGCCCAGTTCTGAGAATCTTGATGTTCAAGAAAGTAAACACGAACCTCAAAATACATGTATATCAGCTGAAGACTTAAGAAGTTCGGTGTGTTTAACACAAGAACAGCTTCAGCAGATTTTGATGATTGTAAAAGGAGAAACTAGGCATATATCTGAGACTCCCAGTGAAAAGCAAGAGGAAATGGGTAAGATACAGTGCAGTGCAATTTTCATACAGTTAACTGACGTTAGTTTCATGGAAACAAAGCAAAATGCGAGGCTTAATTTTGAGTTGAATTCATAATTTATTTGCAGACTACTTGCATACTACTCATTAATGGTATCAAGACCAATACTGCTTGCTATTACAGATGTGAAATTGCCTGTGTTAGGAACCAAACAGCTGTTAATTTTAACCATAAGAACTAGAAATGGTTTGTTAATATTCTAATACTTTACAGAATAAAAAAGCAAGCAACTCTTGTCAACATTTCGTACTAAAACTGGGGGAAAAAAAATAGTGGAAAGGCACTGAACCATTAACATCAAAATTTTGAGAACAAAACCAGAATCTGAGCAACCTGCTTGAGCTGTAGATGTCCCTATTCACTGCAGGGGAGTTGGACTAGATGTCCTTTAAAAAGCCCCTTCCAAATCAAATGATTCCATGATTCTGTGGAAATAACTGTCATCACCACACTCAAAAAGCCTCAGAAATGCAGGCTTTTCTCGTTGATCGATGAGTTCAGATATTACTGTGTATCTTAAGAGCAGTCTTTAGATTTTCTTCTGACCCCAAGATGTACATGCATCTTTCTGCTTAACTGTAGTACTACTACTGAGTAGTGTTCATTCTGCAGTTCTTATGCTGACAAGCATGACAACTATTCTGTATCTTCCTGTATTATCGCTCTTATTTTTGGACCCGTGGAAGAGGTCAACTCTGTCACCACAAACATGGCACATTGAAAGTAATGAGCTCCCTGGCAAGTGCAAGTGTTTACTGTAAGTCTAGCATTCTAAGAATACCTTTGAAGTTTTAACTTGCATGCCTCAGCTGTACAAGCAGGGCAGAAAACAGGTTTGTTAAATAGTTGCAGAGTTTGCAAGTCTCCTTTGTTCCTTAAGTAGTAAGTATTGAAAAATGTTTAGTGGGCACATATGTTTTATTTCCTTGTGCATGTATATATGCATATATGTACAAATGTGTAAATATATATACATTTAGGCATGTATATGTATTCTACAGGCACTAATGAGGCATCAGAGGAAACCATTGTAGCACTGCTCCAAAACACTTGTGAAATTTCATCTGTTCCAGATGAGCCTAACTCTAATTCAAGCAGGAAAGAAGAGTCATATCCACAACCAAGAGAGAAAGTTATGTACGTAAATCTGTGTTATTGTCCATGAAAATTTTCTCCAGTAATGAATTGTAGTTCTTAATCATGGTAAGAATTGATATAAATACTAATCAAAAAGTTATGTTTAAAATCAACAGATTTTCAAGTAATTTTTTTCTCTCTCACCTACAGAAAGGAGTCCTGGAAACCCGCTGACATGTTTAGTAGCTTGGGTGAAAGAGAAGGAGAGAAAGCCTTATTAGAATCAAAAAAGAGCCAATGGAGGAAGGAACTAGGTACTCACCATACACACAATTTGTATTCTTATGAGTTTATGACACTAAGGATGCCAACAAACTTTGCATTACCTATGCTTCTGTAAGTTTACTTGTATCAGTGCAATTGCTACAGATTTGCAAGTTATCTGCTGTAAATCTCTAGAAGAGATCAATTCAATTCCCAAACCTCAAAAAAAAAAAAAAAAAAAAAAAAAAAATCTACATAAAGAAAATCTATAACTTCTTGCAAAAAAATGCTGCTAAACAAAAGAAATAGGGTTGTGGGGGTTTTGTTTTGTTTGTTTGTTTTAAATGCTTCATATTATAGGAGTTATTGGCTCCTGTTGGTTTGATCACTCCTTCACTCCTTGCTGGCCATTATCCTTAACAAATTACTTTGTTTCTTTTAAGGGAAAAGTGTCACCTGGTCTACAGGGATACAAATTGCATTTGACTTTGAAACAGTTTGCAGCCCTGTCCCATCACCAGCCACAGGGAATCACTGTAGGAAGTTAAAACTGTTTAAGACAGTGCTGAAGATTCCATGACAAATTAAGCTATTTATGATTGACATATAGGAGTGTTTTTTCTACAACTTATATGTAGATGATCTGATTATAGGGTTTGATGTTTGCAGTGTCCATTGGTTTGGTAATATTAGCATATTCTAATCTCATTAATCTTAACAAAGTGGAGATAACTGATATGCTGTGATTGATAGTTGTTTTTAGCCTTCAGGGTTTTGCAGTCTTCTCAGAGAAATTACCCTATTATCCTCTGTCTCTGGACAGAGACTCAGTGGCCATCCTCTTAAAAGCAAAGTCATGTTTGAGCTGCTAGGTCACACAATGATGACAATCTTGTAGTCCATTTTCCAGTCAGAATTGTAGGGATGACATGCCTATCTTATTTATTTTAATAAATGCATCTACACTCTGTATTAGGAATTTTTACTAAAGTTTTGTGCGTTTCCTCCCCGCTTCCTTTCCTGAAGATGAACAGGTAGCACTGAAGAAGAAACTGAAAGAAACTTTGGAAGGAGATGTGGTTTATTTAGGGGCAAAATCTGGCAATGATAAAAACCATACAGAAAAAATGGAAACAGCTGACCCAGATAAGGTAAGGCTATCAATAAACACTGAAAAGTACACAGTTTTGACAGTACTGTTGCAGAACTCTTGAGCTCTTAATTCATACAAGATTTTCTTTTCTGTACAGATCCAATGTTAACTGGAAGCAGAATCAAATTTCAGTGGTTAGTTTAAGCTCTTTGATGGCATGATGTGACGCAGCTCCCTATATCAAACTTAGCTTTTGCTCCAATTTTAGTTTTATCAGTTATATGAAGTATCACTACCAACCTCTTCCTTTCTTTGCATGTTGATTACCATGAGGTATGAATCTTTTCCAATTATGATTTGAGGCATAATAAAGTGGTTATTATAATAATAAATATATAATTATTTACATTGTTCATTAGCTCTCTAATATACCTACTTGCTTACATAATATTAAGCATAGCATTTTGATTTTAACTCGCCTTTTAAGTAGTCAGGTGTAACTGAAAATGGCATGTCAGATAAAACATGACTTTGAGGAAGCTGCTGACGAACAGGTGGTTTTTATGCAATATCAGTTATCATGGTAAAAATAAATGGCATCTTTTGGCATAATTTAAAAAAAATTAACCACCCTGCCCCCATAAGAATTCGTTTCATTGCACATAAGTAAAAACTACTGCATATGACATGCTTAATTACAGGTTTTGTCTGAGGTTCTAATGGGTAGCAGCTTCTAGAAAATTGGTTTATTTGTTTTGTATACATTAAAGGCTATTTAGTTCAAAACAAAAACAACAAAAAATTAAGTAAATCAAGACTTAAATAAGCAGTCACTTTATTTGCAGACACTGTTCTCAGCTCACCAGTTGTTAGTTGATTAGCATTTGTTTTAGGGGTAAGATTTAGCTTGCATGCAGTTGTGGGTTGTTGTTTGTTTGTTTTCCTTATTTAAAGATAACAGATATATAGCTTCAGTAGTTCTTTTAGATCAAAATAATTCAGTCTTTTACATCAAAATAATTCAGTAAAGCACAGATCTTTGTGCTCTATCTAGAGCATTGTGTCTGAATGAATGCCTATCAAAATATGGGCAGTTTATAGACTTGAGTATAATTAAAGGCTGGCATGAAGAGCAGTACTTGGTGTTAACTGAATTTTTATTTAGCTTTTAGGCATATGTTAAAGAAATAGATAAGTGGGAACATATCAAAAGCAGAACCACAGGGAAAAAAAAAAGGTTTTGGTGCAAAAAAGCTTAAGAAATTGGGTTTGAAAAGACACTGACAGAATGTTGTTTGTTTGTTTTTTTTTTGTCAGATAGCACTGAAAATTCTCAGTGTCACTGGAGTATCCGTTTGTTAATTTATATGGATATCCATTAATAAGCGCGAAGACTGAAGATGCTATCTAGAATTTACTTGAGTCAGATGAGTGATCTAATGATCATGGAGCTGAATCTACCTGAATCACAGACTGAGCAGTGATCCACAGCAATAGGGAGGAAGGATTTTTGTTCATGATTGTCACATTGTTTGGAGAAAGAGGCTGATGGATCAAGTTAGAATAAGATTCAATGACTGGCTTATTTTGCGTCTTTCTAACAATTGAAGCATTTTTATGGAACAGTCAAACACTTAGTACAGTTACAAGCTTACATTCATTGTTTGTGCAAGAGAACAGCCTAGTTCTGCCGAGTAACTGCAGACACAGTTTCCTGACACGTCTTTGTTATGTGGCTAGACAACGTAGTGAATTTTGTCTACAAGTAATAGACAAGCATTTATCTTATTACAGGAAGTTGTGCTACAGGAACGACCTTTGAGTGCTTTGAAGCATGAGCAACAGAAGAAGTGGCTTGAAGAGCTGGACAAACAGAAGGAAGAAGCTAAGCTACGAAAAATAGAAGAAAAAATGAATTTATCAAAGGTATATGTGGCTTAGAGAGACTTCTTGGAATAAGAAAATCTCGTTGTTTCAATTTTTGTTCTAAGAAAAAAATTGAAGTCTTAGACTTAAGAACTAGTTACAAAGACATAATGAAATATAATATGTCCAATTTTTGATCATAAGATCACAGGCAGTAGGTGTTACAGTATTTGCCTGGCAGGGAACAATGTGCCTAGTTTGGTGTGTTAAAGTACTTGCTGTGGAGATGAAAACAGCAGTATTATTATACCCCTGCCTATTTAACCCATATAACTACCATGGTTTGAAAGGTTGTAAGGTCTTGCAGAGACATGAGTGAGACACCTTATAAAAAATAAACTTCCTATAAGTTACTGAAGGAGATGAGAAGAAATTGTTAAGAGACATCCACTGTGCATCACAGAGATATTCAGATCCTGTTTCTGGAAATACTATTTTGATATATGCTTCTGAAGCTTTTTAAACAATTGTTCACCCAGAAGGATTGAAAAAAACAGCCCCACTTTTCATAACATTCAGGTTTTCCAGGCTGTTGAATGTAGATCTTTTACACTGGATCTCAAAGAAAACTTGCCCAGATAATTTGTTTGCAGTCCAGTTAAGTGAAGAGACTTCTAATACTGTCACTGTTGACTGATCTGGGCAATATATCTCATACCCCTTCAGGTTCTTACTATGGAAAAGTGACTTCCTTTACTCTGTTACTATTTCTACCTTATTTCTGATTTTAAGGTTAATAAAGTATTCTACATTCTTATACAGACCAACATACTCTTTCAAAGTCTCTTCATCTGTCTCTTGAAACAAAGAAACACACAGCAAGACTGTAGTGTTGTTAGAACCCTGACTTCCAAATTACTGTACAAAGGTTTAAGCCAGAGTAGTATCTGTTACCACATATGAGATATGTTCATCATGCTCTGTGTTATCAGTTAACAAAAATCTCCGTTACCACAAGTCACCTCATAGGAGTGTTTGTAATCTGTGGCCTTTTTTATCAGTATGCTGTAGTTTTTACTCTGAGCTGAAGCATTTATTACAGCAGTTGCACAATTCCTATACAGAAAATCATTATCTCAATTCTATGGCTCACAGTAATAGAAGCTTCCTACCCATCCTCTTAAAAAACAAAAAAACAAAAAAACAAACAAACAAAAAAAAAACCACAAAAAAAAACCTCAACAACAACACAAGCACCAAACAACAACCAAACCAAACAAACCCACCTTGTTGCTAAGGTCAGTTACATACTTACAGCATGAACCTTCTCCTTTCCTAAGCCCTGAGGGAACTGAATTTCCTTTGCAAATGGGACATTTTGCAGCTGTGAAGGTAACACAGCTGTAAAAGATTCCTGCTTAAGGTGCAATGTTTTTTAATTTGATGGGTGTGGCACAAGGAGATGGCTGCAGTTACTAACTTGACAATAATCTACTTCCAGCCTCTTGAAAGAAAACTGCACGCACTTAATCTTTTTTTCTTCATCTTCCTGTTTGCATCTCATGTTACAATCTGAACCTTTCTGTACTACAGACTTACATAACACAGATATTTTAACTTCTCTGATACATTTGCACATCAACATGTTTAAAGGGAAGGCAAAATTTACTTAGGAAATGGGAGAAAGATTTATTTGGATTCTTATTAAGATTGTGTTATTGCTTCTTTTAAAATAGGCATAAAACTTCTCTTCAAGAAGGGATTCTTTCTGGTTTAAAGAATGTAGTCCTGGAAAGCTTTAAATAGAGTATGTTAATTTGCATTCTGCCAAAAAGAAATCTTGAAGTAGCCATCTTACAGTCTTCTCAGACAAACAATTATGAGACTCAGAAGAAAAAATGTTCTCAGTACCTATAGCAAAAACAAAGGTGCCTTATGTAAAATATTCAGCTGCAAAAATGGAGCCATGAAGATAAGGCTGTGTGATATGGAAGGGAGTCTTAAAAAGTCACTTCTACAGAAGTTTTGGGTACTTTGTTAGGATTGGATTCTTAAAAGAATGAAAGAGATTCTAGAAGACTGCTTATTTTATAATAGGCCTGTCTGACTGAAAATAAGAAGGTATAAAGTAGTATCTCTGCACAAAGCACAGTAATTCTGCTGCTGTCCATGTTTGAAGTGATGTGGGTAAATGTGAGCGAGTGTAAAACCTGTTCACGTTCTTAACTTATTCTTTGACTTTTTTTTTTTTTTTTACTTTTTTTTCACTTTCTACTTTCTGGTTTGTTTGTTTTTGCTGAAAATATTTTAGAAGCACTTTACTGCTGATCAAGTATATTGATCCACAGTATAATTTCTGCTCTGATTTGCATTTTAAGCAACAGAAATAGTTTGGTTTTCCATCTAAGCAATGAACTGTTCTGTGTGTTGTAACTCCATAACAAAGATTTTCAACTGTTGGTGTTGTACAAAATGTGTTGTCTAACTCTTTTGTTAACTGTGCTTTGTAGAAAATGTAATTGAGCACATTTCCGTTTTTTGTTGCTTCGTATTTATTTAGGCTGAAGAGCATGACAGATGGGCAATGCATTTTGATTCTTTAAAGAACCACCTTAATACTAACGCACAACACCCCTTAAATGGAATGTACAAAAAGCAGCCTGAAAGTCTTTGCCTGTCACCTGACCCTAAGGAGCTGACTGCTTTTGTTCACCCTTTCTCACCTGCAGCTTTAGGCAACTTCATGCCCTCAAAAGTGGGAAATGCAGAAAAAGGTGCTAAAAACAATGCTTTGGATCACAGTCAGAAAACCAGGTGAGTGAACTTTGTAAGGACAACCATCTTCCCATCCAGTTCACTTCTGGTACCCCCTAGAAATTAAATAAATATTTGAATAAGATGCCTTAAATCTGATCTTTGGATCTTGTTCATTTGGCTTCTGCTTTTTTCAGAATTGCATGTGGCTTCACTTCTGAAATATGCATATGCTTCCATTGTTCATTAATAAAATTTACTGCAAGTAACTGTATTTTTTTCCTTAATATAACAAATTATATAAATTTAATAATTAATACAATGCAGTTTCATCAATATGAAAAAAATTACTTATAATCTGAGAATTCTAATTAAAGAAGGCATTTGGATTTACTCTTTATGACAAGAAAGCCACATACATGTTTCTTTCTTTGTAGCTTCCTTCGTTCAATGACAGCTCTCCTGGATCCTGCACAGATTGAAGAGAGAGACAGACGGCGGCAGAAGCAGTTAGAACATCAGGTGGGTTTCTGTTTTAAGGTGTAGAGCTATTTTAATGAGAAGAATGGAAAAAAAGTGAATAACGCATGATAATTTAATAACAGTGAGGCAGTTGAGACAACTCTTAGACTTCAGATTACATCTACACGTGTTTAATAGTATTCCACTCAGCCTCTATGTTTTTTTAATATTTATATTCGTTGATTGTATTTCTGTTACTGAAATCTTGGCTCAAAATAATGCAGTGTTGCCTTTAGAACTCCAGTAAGGTTCTTTTTTCAGTCTCTGCTACCATCAGGAGGGCTGATACTTACATCTACCTGTTCTGTGAACTTTACATTGAAAACATAAAAAGAGACTTTTGTTTATCTCTGAGTATTTTGACTTCAGACTGCTTTGCCAGGCTGATGGTTCTAAAAAAAAATGGGAAGGCAACTAGCCATGTTTTGAGAAATTGTAAGAAAAGAAAAAAGCATCTGAAGTACTTTCTAGTTAATAGCATGATCTGTTAGACAGCTATTTTCCCTACTACTGTCACATATATTAATAAATTGTCTTCATTTTTTTATCCTTCCAAATGCAAGTATCATGGATGTACACAGAAGAATACAAGTACTAGCTTCTAATTCCCTTATTTTCATACCTTTTAATTCTACTTTCTTATGATACCATTAGAAAGCAATAATGGCTCAGGTAGAAGAAAAACGGAAGAAGAAACAACTGGAAGAAGAGAAGAGAAAATTGGAGGAACAAGAGGAAGAACAGCGCCTAGCACGAGAAAAAGAACTGATGCAGAAACAGTTTGAAGAAGATCTGCTTAAACAAAAACAAAAGGAGGTGGGTTTTTGTGTTTTGCTTAGATGGAAATCTTTTACTGACTTGTCTGAATGTAGTGAAGTTAAATATTGCAGGTAGTGGGAAGACCTATGAGGTAATCTGTTTTGAAGTACTACACTAGTATAGTTTTTTAAGTTCTTTGAAAACTAACAGTGTATATTTTGAAAAAGGATTTTGCTTCATGTCAATTAAAATGACTGTAATTGCTCTACTATATAGAAAGAAACTCCTTCAAAGATTCAAATTGGTAGTCAGACTTCCAGATCATTGACTACAATAATACTGTTTCACTGAAGAAAACAGTTGTTTCCCTTCAAAATGATGCTGCCTCCTCATTTTGAAAACTGACATTTTGATATTTGAAATCAAGATCTGTTTCCTCATTTAATACGGTACCATACAAGTTTAAGGCAAGTTTCTTTTTTTGGATGGCCTTTCGGGAAAGTGAATGGACAAGAACTGGCAAAAATTCAGGTGTACTTTCAATTAAAGCAGAAATATGCATTTTAAATGCAATTTTCAAATACAAAAAATACATACTTAGCTCTTTCAGGCTAGGATTGAACAACTTCATTAGTACAGCAGAGCTTCTGACTTTATCATTTAAAAGTTACACATTAGGTATTGCATCCAACTCAGCTAGTTTTTGGTTTGTTTCTTTTTGTTTAAGATACTCTACTCAAAGCAAGAAAATATTTTGACATTATTTATGTAAACATTTGGGATTACGTGGAGATTAAATAATCATATTCTCAAAATTAATTCCTACATATACTTTTTTTTTAAGGAACTTGTGATTCTGAAAACAAATGAGCTCTATCAGACAATGCAGAAAGCTCAAGAATTAGCACAGAGATTAAAACAGGAACAGCGCATCCAGGATTTGGCTCAGAGGGGACATGACATTTCAAAGCTTAAGAAGAATCTTGGTGGAGGTAAGTACCACCATTTTGCTGTTCAGTTTGCCTATTCCTTTGCTGTTTGTGTGCAAACTGAGTGGGGTTTTTTTCCCATTTTTGTAACGGGAAAAACAAGCCTGAAATTGCTCCTTTGCTTCAGAAACCAAATTTAATTTCAGCTTATTTAAAGAATCTTCCCAATAATATCAGTGTTCTAATACCGTGAATACCATATCTTAGTAATCTGTAAACGCTACTTTACATAAAGGAAGAAATATAAGGCTATTATCAGGAGTGCATGTGGAATATTCAGACCTACAAAGGATTGGATTGATTTTCAGTGAAACAGGCAGTATTTTAGGATCTGAATCATAATTCTCAATCTTTTGCTTTGAGCTCTAAGCTAGAATAGTCTGACAACATGATAGCATAGTTTAAATAGGATATGAAAAAAATTTCTTGATTCTTTTTAGGTGGCAGTGAATTTGAAAACTGTAATACTGATGCTTCACATCAAAGTCATAATTTCTCTGCTGACATGAACATTGATCAGCAGACTTCTCGGAAAGACACTGCTGTACAGACAGGTAAGTAGTCCTTCATTTTAGTCACCCTGATGCACCTTACAGACAGACAGCAGGACAGCTAAGTTGTGTAACTGTGCAACAGGGCCAAATCGCTGTCATTCAAAATTGAATAAAACTGAAAATAAATCTTGGACAGATTCAGGCTACTGAAAATATAATAATATATCACCATATTTTTCTAAATCAATTGTATGTCTTTATTGGTACCTGCCCATTACAAATTCAGATCAGCCACTCTGAAGTACAGTGTTGGCTTACAGTCATGGCCATAAGCCATGCAGGACTAAATTTATTAAGGAATTGAAGCATATATTGTTGTAGCCTTCAGGCTTATATCACATGCACTGGTATTGAGCTGGAATGGGTTCTTAATGAATCCTTAAAGAAACATTGTCAATAATTCTGGAATAGGAATACTAGACCCATTAGAAAATGAAAGCTTATATTCAAATATTTAGAAAAGCTTTTTACAATTGTTGCTACTTACCCAGACAGAATCTTCTTCCCACTTGAAAAGTGAAAGCTTTTTTATTTCTATTTGTTTAGGCCAAATGTTCAAATAGTTTACTCTTAGATCTAATATACTTTTTTTAGATGACTATACTTCTTCAGCATGCATTGATACAGCTGAGGAAAGAACTTCATGTTGCGGGTCACCGGATATTTCCATAGAATATAAAGAAAGTTCTAACAGCAAAAAATACCAGAAAGAAATGCAGTATACAGATAAAAACAGAATTTCAGGACAAGAGAATGGTGACATCCACAGAGAGCTGTATGAACAGTATGCAAGAAAAGAAAGACAAATTAAACCTTCAGAAAAACCTGGCAAAAGACCTGACTGGAACATAAACAAGCCTGAGAAAAGATACATTCCAGCATCAGAAAGATACCCCAAACCACTGCAAAAACAAAGGGAAGAAAATAAAGCAAGACGACAAATGGAGCTGCTTCAGTTGGTAGAAAGAAATACCCCTGGGAATCTCTACCAAAAAAAGGGTTGTTGTTCAGATAGGTCTCCTTCACCTCATGAAGAACTGAAGAATAAGGGACACAGAATCAGAAAGGTAACTATTTTTTCTCTAAGAACAATGATTAATTTTTTTTTTTTTTTAAGATTTATTTCACTCAGCTCTGCTTGGACATAATTCAAGCTCTGAGAATTTTCCTACTACCTCCCCTTTGTGTGCAGAAAAGTATTACAGCAGTTTTTTTTCAGCATGGTTGGAAGAACATTAAATGGCTAAGCTTTCAGTATTAGTTCAATCTTCCAAAGTCTATATTCGCTTTATTGATAATCATTATAGACTTATTAAGAAAAAGTGCATACAATTTCTGCTTGTGCCTCAAGCTGCCATAGATGTAGAGAAGTAGAATAAGTTCTTCTATTATTAGTTTAACTGAGTTCATAGATACTACAAGTCTCTTTAATGCACGTCTTTGGTAATATCTGTCTCCTGTGAGAGCTCAGATCATGCAGTCCTTTCAGAATTTCAGAACAAACATTTGTAATATGAGTGTTTAATATAAGAGCATCAAGTTTTGTACTCATGCTTTTGACTTCTTTGTTTTTTTTCCTAGGAAGAACAACTCTGTAAGAATCATTTGAATGAAGAAAGGTATGTCAATATTCTGCATTAATGCATTTATAGTGGAAGATGTACATTTTTCTTTCCTGATTTTTAATCTTTTTTATGAACTTAGATTCATCCAATTGTCCACTGTAGTGCAGAATGTCTTCTCTCCACTGTTTATCAAACTTCTGTGGGTTTTATATTAACTGGAATTGTTTCATACAGATCTGACTCACCACCTGTTCCAGCAGTTAAGAATAGATTACAAGTACAACAAAAACAGATATGCACCAGGAAATTGGAAGTATATAATAATAGTAGAAGAGAGAAAAATACCAAGCCAGATACACAGCAGAAGAGCTTCCCTCCTGCGGTTCCAGAAGCTGGAAGGCCTCCTTCTTCACAGTTCATTCCGTATGTTCGAACAAACGAAGTGTACTATCTCGATCCAGATGCACCAGTGACCAGACCTTCAACACACGACCCACAGTATCGACAGTTTAATGGTACTGCAATGTAATGTGATCTGATTCATGTAGAAGAGATGTCACAGCATTTCAGTTCAAAGTTCTGTGTTTTGTTCTGTTTGTTATTTGCTTTTACTGAATTTTGCAATAACCCGTATTTGTCAGAGCACTGTACAGAAAGCCTGTGCAACCAAAACACAGAACACAAATTCATAAAAGAAAAAAAAAAACATTTTTAATTCTTTTATCTGGGATTTTTGTTTAGTGAAATATAATTGCGCTTCTCTGGTATTAGTACATACGGCTTTTGGTTTTAGGAGTCTAAGTAGTATTTGACTTAGTGATCATAATATAATAGCAACCCAAACTTGATTTCTACAAGTTGTGAAAGTCTACTACTTCAAAATTTGAACAAATTTATAAGCGTATTGTTTATTAATTTCATATATTGTATTTATTTTTAGATTCTTACCAAGTGCCACGACAGATTTTCAGCTCTGATCACACTAGAGATCCTCTTCTAAATCCTGATGTAGTTAAAATCAGAGAGAGACAACAAGCAATTTTAAAAGGACTGTCAGAACTACGGCAGGTAAGTGAAAAGTCATTGCATAAGCATATATGTGTATACATACTAAGGTCAAAATGAATATTGCAAACTAGTACATAGTCACAAACATTAGTCTTTTAGCCATTTTTTTTTCCATTGTCTATGATTGAACCCTGACCTCTACCTTTATTTCTCTGCATTAATTTTGCTTTAGTAAATGCATTGCTTCCACCTTTGTTCTCTCCATAGTCTCTCTTTAAGGAGTCTTTGGTCATTAGATTAGCTATGAAACAGTGGAGAACTTCAGAAAACTTGAAACCAGGAGAATGGCTTTGTTAGCCTAACTGTGAATACCTGGAGGCTTACTCATACAGAGCTGTTACATGTTACATATCATGCAGTTCCAACTGTTTTTACTTCAGGGTTTCTTCATTTTCTAGTACCTGTGAGAGCGATTAACAAAGCGGAAACCTTTTAGCTTTTGTGTATAAATATGCAGCAGCACATCCTAATACTTGAGACACTGTTCTAGGTCAAATTGTAATGCTGCCTTAGAACATATTTAATGTTAGCACTGTAAATCAGTACCTGTCAACCCAAATTCCCTCCCTTCTGAAAATATTGTGTTGTCCTGCTTGAAACTCTGCATTTAAAAAGCAATGTATCTTAACAAATTGTTTTAAAGTTAAAAGCAGTGGCATGTTATTAGTTCAGACTGCTTGAAGGAGGCAAAGCATTCACATTCCTATTCCATTCATTTCAGGGCCTCCTGCAGAAGCAAAAGGAGTTGGAGTCAGGTCTAATTCCTGTTAAAACTCAAGAAGAGAACTTTATTTCACCATTTTGAAAGGTACTTAAGACTGTAATGAATTATTTAAATGTAGAAGGACAGCATTTTGCTACTGTAATTGTGAACCATCTATATTATTTTTATTAAATAAATTATTATGCAATTTTTGATAGGATTACAGGATCACATTACTTTTCAGAATGAAAATTAATTTAACTACATTTTCAGAATAGTCCTTGTGCTGCCTGAAGACATATCCACTTAGTAGACACCAAAAGACTGTAAAAAATTGCTACATGGATTTTTGTGGTACTGTGTTTGTTTTTTTAAAAAATAAATAAGATTTACAATTCATTGTGAATGGCTTTAAGAGAGGGGGTAGATATTTTTAAATATAGGAGACTGATTGTACGTTATTATTAAGACAGGTGTAAACTTGGGCCTAAACCTGTCAGATTTACCACTGCAGAAATGCTGTCTCACACCCCAACTGAAAGAGGATAGTGACACTTAACATGGTAATGGACTGAGTCCGTGACAGCAGAATTCAGTTTAAAGAAGTCAACTTAAAAACAAAGGTCTGAACAGCTCAACATTGAATGCTTCCTGCTGGAATTAAACATTAGATTCATTTCCTTTTGGGCTTCAAGATATAGGATAATTTGAGGTAGAAGTATTTTCTGCAGAAGGTGCCTAATCTGAATTCATTTTAGTTGAGATACATGATAAAATACCACAAAACCCCCAAACTGAGTTTTTTCCAGCAGCAACTGTTCTAAGAAATAAACAGAATATGAAAGGTATCTTACCAGCAGCAGCTAAGGGAATGAAAGCAGACTCTGTCCTCTCCAGTTGCATGCCAAGTCCCATACTACGTGAGCCCACACTTAATGATGGACTTGCTAGAATGGTCTTTCACAAAATCCATTCACAGTTTGTTGATAAAGAGATAAGAGTACTTACCATGTAAGTGGTAAGGGGCAGTGGTAACAGCTATACCAGTCTTGTCACGGTTTGTCCTTAATTTAAAGAAGTGAATGAAACAAGCATTCATACCCAAGAGTGAATGGTGTTTTCTTTTTAAAGCCTATGATTTTTGACCAATTCTATACATTCCAACTAACTTTGAGTTTACAGTTATTTAGTTTCAAACACTATTACCCATTTCTAAACCACCCATCATTCAAACACTAAGACCAAATTACAAAACAGCAAAGAAATGCCGTTTTAGACAACTTGAAAACAAGAACAGTGAACATAAAAGTCAGCACATTAGCATATGTAAAAACACAAATTGTATCAAGGGTAGCACTGAGACACCCCAGCTGTGTACCTTCAAGTTACTGTTATCCAGCAGCCTTAGTGAGATGATGCATGAGCTGAGTCAAATAAAGACTTGCTTCAGAAAAGTAAGGTTAACTCAGCACATGTGAAATTTGAAAGGTCAAGCTAAAAAAAGATACAACTCTACATGTAGAATAATACCAAATCTAAGAAGCAAGAAAGCACCAGGAATCACTATGCTGAAGTAGGGCAGGAGGCCGGTTGAACTACTGAGGTCACTAAAACATCACTGCTGTAGTTATAAGGGGAAGATACAAGTTTTAAGATCATTCTGATATTGCTCTAATAATTACACAAAGTGAACTGCCAGTTATGAAATAAAGTTTGGCTATGTTTCTTTTGTATTTTGAAGACAGCATAAAAACCACAGACAAGGCAGTGTGTTAGCAAGTCCCTTGTGCATTAAGAGTTTATTTCATTTTTGTAATGGAACTGCACCATTTGTTAATCTAATTGAGGTATTTTGCCAAAATCCAGTCATTAAAATAACTACGCTGCCTTATAGCTATGTAAAAACATTCGTACAAAACTGTGTCAAATAAATACATACGTTTTGAGATTTATGTAAAGAAAAGTGAATTGGATACTTACAGTTAAAAAAACTCCCATTTCACATATTTTAGGCAAACATTCAATTTTACATTAAAACAGACTTCAAACTGAAATCTATGTACAGGGTCAAATACAAATGTAGAAACTTAAAAGTGCCAACAACCAAGATAATTCAAGTACAGTAAATGTTAAAAATATATATTTATTTCAATTTTCAGATGCTTCCAACAGGTACAGGCCATCAAGGTTTAAATAAGATCAGAAAAACTTTGAGATAAAGGACAAGAAACATTTTGTTCCAGAATAAAATAGAAATTGTTAATCCAACATTTTAGAAACAGGAAGTCCACAGCAACTTATAAAAAAGACAAGTTTATTTCCTTTTTGAATATGGCCTGGAAGAATCACAGTTTTTATCCCAACCACCAGGCAATGATGATTTCTCTGTATCCATGCTCTGACTGTAAGCAGTTTGAAAATAAGTGCCCCCTTCTTGGCTTTGACTTGTAGAAGGTGGGTATGTTGTTCCCAGAAAAGTCTGATGAGTGAGTACATTAAAGTGACTGAACTGATGAGACATGTTTAATGGTCTGCTGTAAACCTGGAAGTTATTGAAAGGAGCTTGTTCAACTGAATTGTGTTTTTCTCCTTCAGCAGAGTGCGCTGTAGAAACCGGAGCAATTGGCTGTCTCTCTTCCATGTCAATTGTAGAAGACTTTTCCATCAAACTCTTTTGTGCTTCAGGAGATAACTCTGACACACAGCTCTCTTTTGCATCTATTCCACATGAGCTCTTAGTCTCTGTCTGGAAAGTTTCCAAATGAGTATCATATTTAGAGGCATCACTGCAGATTTCTATTTGTGATGCTTCATCCCCTGAATCCAGAGACATGTCCTCCTCATCCTTTCCATCATTTTCTACATGAACTGTATTAAAAAAAGAAAAAGAAACTCCTATTCTATTGAAATACAAACTTTTGTTAGAAAATCTATACACTACTCACAGAGTGTCATGCTTCAGGTCTGCAAGTCCAGTATCACTTAAGTCTTGGTCTTCTGTCACTCTTGTTCACTTAGTCAACATACATACTTAACCCTCTGATTCCAGTTATTCCAATGCTAAAAGCTTCTGAGCATTGTGTTCATGTTTAGTGTTGGGAAACCCCAACTCCAGTGGGGTTTATGTCAAAACAGCATCTAAAGTTATACAGGAGGTCAGTATTTGATCAGACAATTATAGGACTACAACTACTGCTATCTCAGGTGTTTGTCTACAGTTTCTGAGCTACCTTAACAATAGCTCATCATAATGATAGCTCATCTTATTGACAGCTTATCCTTTTCCTGAAAACAGACAGTTACACCTTTTTGGCATATGCCTGCTTTCTGGGATGCCTTGTTAGCCTATAATTCTATATTTAAGATCTCCTTTGGTGCTCCATCCCCGCTGCTGTTCCCCCGTCATTTAAAGCAGTAGCTTAAGAGCTGGGCTGGGTTTTCTTTACATTCATTTACACAAAGACACTAATTCAAGGACCTCCACCCCACACCTCTAAATTAGCTGAAGAAACGATGAATATTATTAAGGTATTACCTGATTGTCTTTCCTGAGCAGAGAGAGATGGGTTCTCTTCTTCATTAACTGAGTTGTGATACCCGACAAGACTTGTAAAATTTTGCATGAAGTCATCAACAGTAGCAACAACTATGCCATTATCAGCATAATTTGAAAGTGGCTTGAGATTCTTTTCTAAATACATAGAAGGAGATTTTGTATTACGAGTTAGCACCTATTACCATAAGAGGGAGAAAGATAGTCATATTTGTTTGTAACCTGTTAAGAAGACAATGTGTCGCTGTTGTATGTTTTGAGACTGAAGCCTGATAAGACATTCTAATTCTGGTGCATTTCGAGTTTGCGAATCACAGTTATGGTAAGACAGAATTTCAACCAAGTGCTTCTTCTGATAGGTGTTCAGCAGGGTCAGCAGACTCAGGGCATTAGTATTCAGTCTGTGATGGAAAAAAATATTAGACATTTGATTTAAGGTCACTCTAAATATTAAAATCCAGTTAAAAGATGGACATAACATTAAGTTCTACTTCACTGGGATTTTGAGAGTGTAACTAAAGCTGAAGATTTTAGCAACTGGTTTATGAAAGATCACTGCTCACCTCCCCAGCTCTTTAAGTTTTTTTTGCATTTTGCAGTGGATTTTCCATTGCCATTTTCCATCTGGGGTATTGAGATCCTCCAGAAACTGTAAGAACTGTTTTAGTTTATCTGTTTAGGAGATAAAAAGTTAAATTTCACGGTCAGCAAACTGAAAAACACTGCCTCAACATACACATAAAAGGGGAGAGTTGTTTTGTTGGTTTTTTTTAGTTTTCACCAAAGCAGTTACACAACTGTGAACACTACCCTAATACTTTAGGTTTTATTCCTAGATGATTAGCCAACAAAGATATTCCAAAATAGAGGGGTTTTGTTTTGAAGCCTAACAGTGGTATCTGCTTTCAAAACAGCTGAATTCAGTCAGCATGATCTGCCTTCTTAAAATATCTATGAGAATTGCTAACTAAAGATAAAATATTAAATTTCAGATAAAGAAAATTTGAAAGAACACAGATTTCCAGTATGTTTTTACTACATTATTCATGGTTCTGAGTAAGGAATAAAAGGCCCTGTATTATACTAGACAAACTTCAAAAGCCAAGATCTCCACGTTCACACATTCTCCAGACAGGCCAGTGAGTAAAAGATTCAGGTTCTCCAAAAAATTCACAAAATCATCTCTAGAGGAGTATGACACTTTTCTCATATCTTAACAATTCTGCCTTTTTTTGTCTGTGTTTTTAAAGCTCCAGAAAGCATCACACTTACCTGTTGTGATGCTCTCTGGATTAAGGACAGATTCATCTGACACAACAAAGCCACCCGACATGAAGAGTTCATTGTAAGTGTGATTTTTCACATCATCCAAACTATCGACACCTGCAAAGCTGACACAAGAAAGCTTCTTCAAAGTTACTAAGCCTGGTACCTGTTTAAAAATCAAGAGAGGTATGTGAGGAAAAAGAAAACAAAGATCATAGCTAAAAAATAGATAAGGAATCTTCTTGTTAAAAATTTAAGACATATCTAAAAATTATTTTTGATCCCTTGCTTTAGGGGGTGCTCTCAAAAACATTACAGGTGTTGGTTCAGGGATACCTAATGTTACTTTAATAGCTGCCTTCACTTGCTGTTACAGCAGTAAAGAACTAAAAACAGAACTACTGGAGCCTCAACAGAACTTAACAAGGGCTAGGAAAAATTATTAATTGCTATAATGCACCAGAAGTATTCATTACCAACAGTGTGCAGGTAGAAGTAGTTACGGGTATATGATGTAATAGGACTAGGCATGACCACAAACAATTTTGTTTCTTTGGAAAGGCAGCTAATCAGACTGTTGTTTAAATATTAAGAGAGTAGCCTTGCTCACAGTGAGTTCTTCTGGCTGTGCTTTAACAGTTGTTTTCTGCAATACACATTTACTTATGTGAAGTACCTTATGGATGAGGTTGGCGATGTCTTCATTTTGAATAATTATCAACAGTTTATCTAAAGCAGCTCTTCTTTTTAGGAACTGTTCTGGATGGCACTCTGTATTACCTAACTTAGTAAGATACTCCTGACACCACAGAAGGAGATGGTGGGGGGGAAAAAAAAGGGAAAAGCTAGTTAAGCCAAAACATTCTCCAGAAGATGACAACATTAATAAGTTTCCCATTCAAATGAATTCAAGAGAGACAACTACTTTTGTCTTTCTGACACATTAAGCAGAAGCAGCACAGGAACAGGCTACTTTAGCAGGTCAGTCCATCTTACAGAGTAGCATGTATGTGGTCAGCTGACAGACTATTAAGACTGCATGAAGTTTCAAGAAAACATGAATTTTTATGACTTCACTTTCAACTTTCATCTTGCACATTTAAATACAGAATGACAGCAATCACTAAAGCTACCTAGACTATTAACCAAAGGGGGGAAAAAAAAAGAAAACACACCACCACACATAACATCTTAGCAAGGATACGTGAAAATATCATCATATTCTTTCCAAAAACCTCCCACAAGCCTAACCCTTCTGGCTGCACCTGCACAAAAATCCAAACTCCAACCAGTTCTGCTTTTCAAATAATAAGAATTAGGTAAATGCCAAATCAAGACAGACTGTCTCAAAGCCTCAAACAAGAACTGTGGCAGGGCAGCCTGTTTTCACGATTCAATGTAACAATTCAAACTTTTGTGAAACAAATTTTAGACTCCCTTTTGTTTCAAGTCCAGTTTTATAAATTCTGGTTTGAAAGCTACACCACTCTATTTAAACACTACAGAGAGGCTGAAATGGAACACATTTACCTTGATTTCTTTGCAGAGAATGCTTTCCTCCTCTTCATGAATATAAAATTTCACAATGTTTTTCTGTACATCTTTAATAATTT